AAACATAAGGAGGCTTGTATTAAGCATCTGTGCAGATAAAATAAGGAATTAAAGACAAACTAGCTCCTAGTGTAATGGCTACAGATCTCTGGCATGGCAAAAGCAGTGAATTTTGCCCAGCACGCTTGTTCCAGTAACTTTTTTCAATTCTTAGTCTGGTTTTCTTAAAACCAATGTTGTTCCTATGCTGATAGACCCAACAAACAACCATTCAGAAAAAGGTCTTTAAATCAATAATTGACAACAGAGCCGCCTCTCTGGTAAGCATGCTGTTGACCACAAAAGGATGTATTTAAAGTAGAAGTGATTTGGAAAGGAGAATATAATATGGTCAGCTCAATCTTGAAAAAACCCCCCGTGTTTCTCTCACATCAAAACCAGGCAGTGCCTGCCAGTCCTCTGAAGCTATGCTGCATGTCACATTGCAAAGTTAGAAACAAAACTCCTTCAACTGAAATATTACTGAAAGGAAGGTTTTGTGGCTAGCAAATGAAACCTCCTTTGGAGACTTGTGGGCTGGCTGATCATTTTCTTGCTGTACCAGAGAAATTGACTGAAACACCTCATTCTTTGTAGCAGTATGTTGGCACTAGATGCTGAGTGAATATAAGAACTTGGTGATTGAGGGCTCCTCTGAGGGATGCCACGGCAGCCGAGCACTCCTCTCTAAACACAAAGAGCTATTTCAGTGGTGCAAGATGACACGCTTCTTCCTGCCACTGAAAACAGATTTTCATTGCAAGAACTACCTGAGCTTGACATTGTGAAATTACTTCCTTATGCTCTATGTACCATAAAAGAAGCCCAACTGAACTGGGAAGGATACATCCTTGCCCAAGCTACATGCAGCAAACAGCTACAGGAGCCCGGAGCTTGGTAGCAGGAAATGTGTGGGAAAGCCATCTGGTGAAACCACTTAAAAACAGTGTTAAAGTATTTTTTTCATTCACTTCCTGACAAAGTAGTAATATGTTGCCTCATTATAGGAAGAGGGCTGCTTGTTGTTATTATTTGCATTAGTAACTCCTAGAAGCCCAAAGGTGGGGACAGGACTCGTGCTGTGGGTACATGTAAGAGGAGACCTTTCCCTATACCCACGCCCCCCAAATTTTATAACTTTAAAGGGTAGAAAGCATAGGATTTTTTTTTCTCCAAATGGGGGAACTGAAACAGATGGGAGAGACTGAAGGAGCTGGAAACAGAACACATAATAATTCCTAAGCCACGACTTTCTCAGCAAAACTGTACTTTGACTCCTGTACTTTATCTCTGAGCATTTATGGCGAGTGGTATGTACCTTAGCATACTGCTTGCAATGTGCTCTGCAGTTCTTCTAGGTAAAATCAGCGCTTAGCTTGGTGTGGAGACACTGCTGAGAGTTACTACATGCCTTGCTATGCTGAGGCAGGGGGAGGGAAATCAAATCAACATGCAGAAGGAATTTTAATCATCACTTAGCAAATTAAAAAACAAAGTTACTGTGGAGATCTTAAACTTGATGTTTGGCATCTGAATCATGTCTTTCACTATGAGCTCCCAGTCTGGCCCACCTAATTTCCCCATAGTTTAATACTGCTATAACCCTGGGCAGTATCTCTGTTCTGCTAAAAGCAGAGAACCACACCAAAGGCTGTATTTCAAGAGGAGTCAAAGTTCCTTATAGCCTACTTACTATTATTAGATATGTAAAGTTCTCCTATATCATCATCTTGTCTGAAGGCCTCAAATAATTTTACAGACCTTATTTTAGCCTCTTGGTGACTCTGAGGCAAGACAGTTATCCCCATTTTTAGAGACTGGAACAGACTTAAAATCCCTGTCCTGGAGTTTTCCTTATCAGTCTTTGCCAGAATTGAGGATGGATTTTTTTCAGCCCCATGCTTTAATTGCAAGACAGAGCTTTCCAGGTCCCTTTGCTATCCCTGTGTGGGTGTGTGGGACTGCGTGCTTGGTTGGTTAGCATTTGTGCCAGGTTTAGATGAAAAAGTATGTGCTTGGACTGGCCTTTTATCTCTGGGGAAGGCAGGGTTAAAAAAATGTCCTAAGGCTTAATTAGTTGGTGAAAGAATATCACAGCAGCAGGAAGGAGGAGGAATAGGATGGAGATGGTGGATGCTGCCCTGCTTTGAGGTAAAAGGGGCTGTAGCCCAGGGACCCCAGAAGGAGCAAGCAGGACCATGTGGGCTGGTAGCTCATAAGGCGGAGACTCATTTGACATACAGAGCCTAGTGCCAGGGGGAGTAGTTTCCCCAGGAGAGAGATGCTCAAGTATTGTGAAATTGGGCCACGAGGTGTTAATTGCTAAAAACTGTAGAAATTCAAATTTAAAGAGCTAGTCCCTACTACCATAGAATGAGTTGTACCAGAGAGGAACCTTTCTTTCTGTCCTGTGAACAAAGCCTCTAGCAGGGTAGCGTAGGATGGGGCAGAGCTGAGGCTCTGAATAAGGCTTTCATTGCCTTATCCCAGACTTCTCATAACCCTCTTGTCCCAAACAACCCACTGTGACACAAAATGCAGGTGCAAAATACAGAGCCAGGAACACAAGGAAGATACCAGCACCCCCTCAAAGTTTGCAGAAGCTGTAACGCACTTCTTTGTAGGATTTTTTTTCTCTCCCACTGCTCAGTTTGTGATCCCTAGCAAGACTCCAGCCTATGGCAATATGGCTATAGGCAAGCACATACATTCAGCTGTATTTGTCCTTTTTATTTGTTGAAAACCTAAGTAGTAACAGGAGCCAGAACTATGTGGGTGCAGGGTTTAAGCACTACCACTGCCTCAGGGTTTACATCCATAACCTCTTCAGAATAAGAGACCAGACAAATAAAACTGTGATTGCACTATGGAGCAGCAACTGTGGAATACTAAGCACCCAGTAATCAAGTGCTAGTATAATGCTGAGATTTTAAAAAGCCTCAACTGAAGTCCTGGGTGAATGACAACAGACTGTTCCTGAGTCTGTTTCAATTTGCCCAGATTCTCATGACTCTAGGAAGACTGTTTACACCCTTTCTATATCCATTGCAATATTTGAGTTACTAGCAGGTTTTGGCCAGGTGACAAACTCAATGAGCACTGAATTGTGCCTCAGCAAGCATAAGATGTCTCTACTAGTCTGCCTCATCTGCGTTGGAGAACAACAGTCCTCTTCTCCAAGCTAGGAGCTGGGCTGGAACAGTGACGGCAGCACCAAGACTCAATTTTTTCCTGGGATGTGGCAGTTCTGAAGTGGGTGGATGAAGACTATTTCTGGCAGTAATAAGGAGTCAAGGGAACGAAACCCATGCTTGGACATTGCATGCAGTAGACCTAACTTGGTGGTTCCTTTGCACAAAGCTTAGCTGGGTGGCTGTCTGAGCATCTGGGCTGTGAGAGGTTCCTGTAGCACAAGTGTCATGTGAGAATAATGCCATGTGATTTAAAGCCCAAAGCAAGCTGTCTAGTTTTCCTCTCCTGACTCTTAGACTGATCCTTCAGTTTGTGCTTACACTGGGACCATAACAAATCTTACATTTTCCAGGCAGTGATGGAAATCCTGCATACACAGAAAATCATCGAGGGTCACCAAATCTGATGGGGGCCAAATTCTTGGCCCTGGATAAGAAACCTGACACAACACAGGGGTTCTGCAAGGGCTTGGGTGCAATCTCTCATCCACATTGTATGTGAAATATGCTCTGTCCAGAGAAGAGGTAAAATCTTCACTAGCTCATCTGCTACACTTGGGAGGTGCTGCTTTAAAAATACAGATAAACTTAGCAGTGTTCCTAGGTTGAGGAAGTTGTGTGTGTGTGGTTTGTTTGGGTGTTTTTTTTTTTAAAGCAAGTAAAAAAACAAATCCACCAGACTAAGCAGCTTTTTTAGTATATGACAAGAAAATCTATAGCAGAATGAGGAATGAGTTCCTCAAGTGCCAGTACAGAGTGCTATACCCAAGACCTGCTCTTCTCACCTCCAGAGACACAGGAAAAACAGCATACTCAGATTGAGTGAAGAGACCTGTACACTTGTCCCATTTCAGAGTCTTTTGGTCATGGTGTTGTGATTGAGGTTTCAACCCTCCCTTAAGCAATCCCTGTGTCAGCCTCAGAGACTCACCTCTGACAGAATCTGGTCTGAAATGTGCTCTTAAACATTGCATGGGCATCTTCAGTGTGAGTCTGTGGTATGTGTTTTTGTTCTATGCTATTTTAGGGATAAGCAACTGGTAAGAAGAAAATGCTTTCATCTGCTGGAGTAACTGTGTTCTCAAGCATTAAAATTATGGTTTGTACTGTCTAGCGGGGAGAAAAAAACAAGGTTCTTAATTCTAGAAGACAGGTTAACTTCTGGGGAAGGAGGCAGAAACTGTTAGGTATTTTGCTGTCAGAAAGAAACCCATGCTGGAACTATTCAGTCAATTAGGCTGATTTGTAGCAGCCTCACTATAAATCCTCTTTCATTCAGAGGCAAGTTAAGCTCTTTGCTGAAACATGCCATTCCAAGGAATTTCAGTAGGTTCTCACACATCTAACCATGGCAAAGTTATCTGCAGGGACGCACCATCTTAGAATGACATGGTATGTTCAATTCTACAACATTATAGCCAATGTATGTCAAAAAAGGGACACCAGCAAAAAGCCTTTCACCTCGCCATCACAGATTAGCCTTTTTCTTGTCTGCTACATTTGTTCAGCCTATTTGTAAATGAGAAACAGCTTTTCTAAATCAGTTTTAGATACAAAAACAGTTGAGAGACATCTGTGCAGTAAATGACCACTCAACCCAGAAACGTAACTGTTTTGCCAATGAAATGCAGCACTCCTTAAAGGTGTAAAATTCAGTTTAAAGGCAGCATGTTTTATAGGGACACCTGTGTAATCTGACCAGATACAGAACCATTTTTTTTCTTAGAGGAAGCTTTTTTTTGCCTGAAAGGTGGTTTATAGCAGGGCTGCAAGCCTTTCCCGTGGCCAAGGCGGCTGGGTGCCTGCCCTTAGTGTGCCGCAGTGACTCACCCTGCTGAGCTGGTCCAGGAGTCTTTGGTTCTGTTCGGAGAGTTCCTGGACGGCCCGTGTCTTCTCGCGGTCGGCTTCGCGCAGGTGAACCTGCTGCCTCTCCAGCTCATCCTGCAGCTGCTTCACGTCGCTTTCCAGTTCAGACACCCTTCCTTCCCATTCTCCTTCTTTGTTCTCAAATCGCCTCCTTAGTTCATGTTTCTCTTGTTCCAGGTGCTAGATAACAGAGAGGGAGAAGAAGTTAGGAAGGGATGAAAAAAGTGAACACTGCCTCTTTTTCCTCCTCTATGCTTAGGGCTGAAACCTTTTGTGCAGTAAAGAGAATGGTACTAGAATGTTACAGTGCCATGGAGGTGGCAATTCCATGTCAGAGCGGGTCACTGGCACTAAACTTGCTTCCCATTTCCAGTAATTGGCCTGTCCTTGGCCTCTGCAGATCAGCACATTGAATTTTTACTGAAACTACTGCCAAAAGAGTAAGGCAGGCTGCATGTCAATAGGCTGAATATATAGGTCAGGTGGGCCAATAGATTTGGCAGAGCCTAGCTTAACTCCAAAGCAGTATTTCAGTGGGCAGTGGCATAATTCTTGTAAAAATTGCTTTTATAGTCAAAACTACACAAAGCGTGTGCTTACTGCTGATGAGGAACCTAGATGAGGCATCTTTCTTGTCATATGGGTCTTATGAACAACAGTTGAATCATTTATCCATTTGCTTGTTCTATTCCTGACCTAATTAGTTGTCTGGTAGTTTGATAGTGCACAGTAACTCTATTGTTTGATGCAGTCCGCTCTGGAATGGCAACGGATGCAATGAAGTAGTTTCTATAGTCATTATGTACATGCATGTTCTGGGTTGCAGTTTTTTTAGAAACACTCTCAGTTCTGGAGACTGCTCTGCTTAGGACTGGCTGGAAAATGAGGGACAGCACGAATCTGGTAGAACTTTTGCAATTTTTACAGGCTCAGTTAAATGAGGGCTTGGCTGAAACAGAGCTGCAAATCAGGTCAAAACAGATTTATGTTGTGCCCATTTGAAAGAATCCCAGCTCTGAAACTCTGAGCTTGAATTTTCCCTGGTGACCAAAGCTATGTGCATACTCGCAGAACAGTCTGTCCTGGTTTCGGCTGAGATAGAGTTAATTTTCTTTCTAGTAGCTGGTATAGTGCTGTGTTTTGGATTTAGTATGAGAATAATGTTGATAACACACTGATGTTTTTAGTTGTTGCTAAGCAGTCAAGGACTTTTCAGCTTCTCATACTGGCCTGCCAATGAGAAGGTGGGGGCACCCAAGAAGCTAGGAGGGGACACAGCCAGGACAGCTGACCCAAACTGGTCAAGGGGATACTCCATACCATGTGACGGCATGCTCTGTATATAACTGGGTGATTGGCTGGGAGGCAGTTCAGCTGGAGAACTAGCTGAGGATCAGCTTTGGTTGGTGAGCAATTTGGTTGTGCATCACTTGTTTTGTATAGTCTACTATTATTATTATTACTGTCTTCCTTTTCTGTCCTATTAAACTGTCTTCACCTCAACCCACAAGTTTTACCTTTTTTTTTTTCTTTTTGATTCTCTCCCCCCATCCTACTGTGGGGGTGAGTAAAAAAACAGCTGTGTGGTTGTTTTAGCTGCCTCATGGGTTAAACCACGACGTAGTCACAGACTGGGGAAATGGGCATGTCCCAAGATTAGCAGGGAAACCTGAAGAGCAGGACCCCTCTCCTTGTTTGTTGTCTTCTGTCCCCCAGAATAACCTGCTGCTACTGTCTATTGGATTCACCAGCCTTTTAGGAATGTGTCTTAGCAAAGAACAGAAACCCACTGGATCCAGCACTTGGCAGCACTCGCGTGTTTTTCGCAGGGTATCATCCCCTGGTGAGCAATCCCCAAGGCACTTATGATAGAAGGGGAAAATAAACCTGCTAGGAGGAAAAGAAAATTGCACTGCATTTATATGAAATGGCTTTTTATTGCTTGTTAGAAACACAGGCTGTGAGGTGGCTGTTTCCCCTGAGTGCCTACTGCTGATGACACACAGCCTCCCTTGCAGGGTCTCTGCCACCTTCCCGAGCAGGTCTGAATGTCAAAGCTCTGTACTTGTCCAGCAGCCCTCTGGCCTGCATTATCACTAATCTTCCACCTCTTGCTCTGCAGAAGATACCACGTTTTCTTGTTCTTGACCTTATCTCCATATCCCTTCCTATGCTCATTCCAGTGCAGTATAGCAGCACTCTGCTTGTGTCCTCTCAAATCCCTCTGCAAATTCAGGACTTTCTGGAAAACCCTCAGATGTGGGGGAAGGCTGATTAAAAACACTGGCCCAAAGCAAAAGTATTTCCCTGTGTTTTGACACTAAAAGAGTGAGCACTCATTGCAAATGATAGCGCTAAATATTATAATTATTTTTAATGCAATAGGTAGGCATGAGATCCCAGCACCAGGTCCACGACAACCATTGCAAAGAAATCTTATTTGTTAGCCTAAGGGTGGCTGGAGCAGTCACAATTATACTTTTAGCGGCACACTGAAAATGCTGTCTTTTATAGCTCTGTCTCCTTTACTGCTAGGCAACGTTTAGAAAGATCCAGGGCCTTCTCTAAATGGAAGATGAAACTTCAGCCTGCTGAGGAGCAGTGCTGCAGCCGAAGTTCCCCAGACATACTCAAATGTGATTAAGAAGCCACTGATAAGCCTTGTCAATCATTTAAAAACCACTTTAGTCCTTTACTGCAAAAGAAAATCCACACTACATACAGCTCCAGTACACGGCCATCACAAAGGTTGGAGTTAGGAGGCGAAGAATATCAAGTTTATTCTCTTGTGATGGAGAAACTAGAACATTGCAGTGGGGCACAGAGAGGCTGATGAAAAGAGGGAGGATAAACCAGATGGGACATGCTGACTGATTCCTCTTGCCTCTTTCTCTCCCAGCAGCCATCTCCCCTCGCCTGCCCTCGCTCCAGCACATGCACGGCTACAGATCTGGATGGGGTTTTTTTTGCAAGTAGTGATGACAGGGCAAACTGCTGTCCTCAGTAGGGGAGTTTCTTGTTTTCTGACTGTCTCTCCATCTACCAGCTGCCTAGATGTTTACACAGAACTGTTTTCTAGAAGATGTTTTCTTCTGAAAACAGCTTTTCTTCAACTTAACTGAGCTGGGCTGGTCCTCGTTTAAAGAGATGAGAGCAAGGGGGGGTTTCCCAGCTGATAAAGAGGGTTCATACTGTAAAATGCTTGGACACAGAAAGCTTCTCTGTGTCACAGGAACGGAGGTATTAGCTGTTTTAATCCTTTACAGAGGATAAAACTGACTAGGATCACATATCAGAATTTATTGCAAGACTTCAGTTCTATGATTAGAAATGAATTTGAACTCAGGCTCTGAAGTGAAAGAGTTGCCAAAGTAAGGAATGCTGGACTTTGGTAATGAACCCACAAAATAGAACATACTTAGTCTTGAGACGAAGCACCAGAGGAGCAGGCAAGCACATTGGCTGTTGGGAAATGGAGAGGCTTCCCTGAGCTATTGTAACCAATTTTGAATTGTTAACTGGGAGAAAATCTCTCTTCCTAAATGCTACTTAAACATCACTATATCAGGTGCAATTGTCACCAAGGATCTCATCTGAGACTTGGCTTCTGGTCATCATCAGAAAGTTCTCAGCATAGGTAACAGATGTGGGTCCTTCCTCCCTGCTCCTCTGAAATTGAAAAGCTTTTTGTGAAATTTTGTTCGCTTCAGTGGCAACAGGAGGTGGCCAACACTTAATCTGTAGAGGCTAGGATTACCAGGCTTGTGTTGTAGAAGATTAATGTTCAAGTTTGATTTTTTTTTGTGTGTGTGTGGAATAGCACCGCCTTAGATCCGCTAAACCTAGTGGAAAAAATCTGACCCTTAAGTAGATAACACTAACTCCTATCAGATGAGTAGCCTGAAAAATAGCAATCTGTTATTCAACTAGAAAGTTAGAGCTATAGTAATGGGATGAAAAGATGTAAACAATTGGTTGTATTTACCATCCCTTCATTCACCTTCTGAATGGGCCCATAAGAGCAGAGGTAAACATTTGGAGGATGTTATTTTAAGTATTATAAAGTCATAGTTTTCCCCCTCTCCTTTTCATCTTTACATTTTGCAAACAGCGAGTGGTATTTGAGACACCTGAACTCCCTAATAGGCAGCTCAGTGAGTACCTAAACTTGTGCGTTTTTCCTTTAACAGTAGGAAAGGTTCTACTCCAAACCATCAGGAAAACCACGTCAGCACACCACCACATACGTCTGTTCTTGCTTAAAGATCAACCTGAAAACATTCGCTCTGGCAAATTTTAATACTCTGGGAAATTCTGATCTGACAAATAGTGCCACTAAACAACAATTTGAGCAAATGTCACCTCCCCTATTGTTTCTATCAGAATAGCAAATGCAGAGAGATTTCCCTGCAAAGAGGAAGGGATCAGCTAGGGTACAGTGCTAAGTTTAATAATAGAGAACAAAGGCCATACAGTAATTTCACAAATCCTCTTGAACTTGAGAGGTGTAAGTCTGTGAAGAAGGAACACAGGAATATGCAGGACTGAGCAGAAAGAATGGGTCTAGGGCTGTGACTTGAAATTTGATTGTTAATTCAGCACTGTTCAAACTGTCTCCAGAAAGGTGAGAGAGGCTTTTTCGCAGCCTTCTCAGCAGTATTACTTGCTGGGAGACTTAAAATTTCAAGAGTATCTCTAACAAAAAAGAGTGGGGGTAATAGTGGCTCTCTTCCATAGCTGTACAAGAGAGTTGTTCCAAAAGAAGCTGCCTGCTCAAGTCTTTTTCTTTGTAATAGCTCTATTTCATCCTTAAAAATCAATAAGTAGCTCAATCCACTGAGTTCCTGGCAAACAGCTCTCTCCAGATACCTGTAGGTATTTTTCAGAGGAACCAGCTAACAGAGACATATCATTAGGGCTTATCTCGTGCCATGCCTAATGCCTTAGCTGCAACAGCTTAAGCATTAGGGTTACATATGCTCTGTTGCTCTGTACCTGCTGTATAAATTTAACTTCCGAGGCATTTCTGTGACGAGATGAGCTGAGTGCAGTGCACATCTTGCCCAGGTGGTACCTGGGTCCTGGGGCAAAAAAGCACCCACAGGGACCTCTGGAAGCAAGGGGCTGCAGCCTATCCTCAGGCCGATAAGCCAGCTCGCAGCCAGGGAGGGGGAAGAACAGCGGATTCGCCTCCTCCAGGCCTAAAAGGGTTTTCTTAGACCCTTTCTTCCCCATCACGGCCACAGGGAGTTCCGTGGGCTGCTTGGCAGGGCCCGTGTCTGCCTGCCGCCCCCGGGATTTGTCGGGGAAAGGGCCGCTTTACGCGGGGAGAGACCGCGGGGCTCCCGAGGACCGCAAGCCCTGTAGCGGGGGCCCTTGCGAAGCGCTGCGGGCCGGGGGAGGGAGGAGGGTGGCGGGGCCTCACCTCCAGCTTGTCGGTGAGCTCCTTGTGCATCCTCTCGTACTGGC